CATCCCAGATTGTCTTGACAAATTCTATGCTCTAGAAGGGTAATTGACACCGTCTCTGGTACAGATGTTTAGTTTGATTGGATGGTTATTGGTATTTCCATCTTGCTAGATAACATTATAACTTGTTGTTCAACACAGTATACAGAGTCTTTTGCATTAGACTTCTTGACAGTAATTAAAAGTGTTTTCATCTTCTAACGAAATTTCCGTGGAAACTTGAAAAATGCTAAAGGAATTAGTAAATTGTTAAAAAAAATGGAGATGTCAAAAAGGCTTCTGTATTGCTTCTTCGTGTTTTAGGCTTCTTAATTCTTACAAATTATTAAGTGAAGAGCGATGCAGATTTTTGTGAAAGAGCTAGATGATAGCACAAGGACTATTGACATCCCTGACGATTGCACAGTTGCTGAACTGAAGGTTAGTTTATCGTTATTGTTGCAGTGTTTTGTGTCTTTTATGAACGCAATTGTAGTATTGGGATGTGGAGATATGATCTAAGAGGATAGATATTTTATTAATAAGAGTTCTTGCATGAAATCGGTCTCAGTTGTTTTAATATTTCGACAGTTGTTGGAATATTTCTAGCTCATAAAAAGTAAATATTTTTGATTTGCTTCTCGTACCAGCTAGTAGATGATGATATTATTTTTGGTTCTCCAGTAGTGAATGATAGTTAGTGATGATGCTTTGTAAAATATAAGGAGATACGGAATATTTTCCTTTTACTTGAAAATCGCTTCGTAATTTTTATTTCATCTCTTTATACATTAAGAGTTTTTCAGGCACTCTTAAATCTTGAAGACATAATTTTGACGCATGGTACACGTATTTTAGATGATGATAAGGCCCAAATTAGTAGTTTTGGAGTTTCTGATAGAGCAAATATTAATGTCATGTGCAGACTTCTTGGAGGTATTTAATGCTTTTACATATTAGTTGTAGTTACAATAACTCATCGAAAGTTAGTGTTATTGACCTTAACTCATATGAAATTTAATTTTGAAGGAACGGACATCTTTTTTAATGTTTTTAGGGTAATTTTGTTTGTAAGAAGGTCAAGAATAATTTTTGTGCTTACTTCGCTTCATTAAGAATAAAATTGCAATGTTATTTATAATTTACTATTATTAGACCAAGTAATGTAGTGTGACGATTAACTTTTCAAATTGTTGATGTTTTCTGTGAATAATTGGTGAGAGATTATTTTTTTCTTCAAGGAAAGGTACATGGGTCATTAGCACGTGCAGGAAAAGTTCGAGCTCAAACTCCAAAAGTTGATAAACAAGAAAAGAAAAAGAAGAAAACAGGTATTATTAATAATGATGCATTTATTTTTTTCTCCCAAGTATACTGTGGTAGTTTTATCCGAAGTCACAGATTAGTATACTTTATCAAATTTTAAATTCAGCACTTTGTGTTTATTATAATTTCTTAGGTCGAGCAGCGCGTCGTATTCAGTACAATCGGCGATTTGTGAACATAGCTGTAAGTGGAATTGGTCGAAAACGCGGTCCGAATTCAAATGCTGCTTAAATATTACATAGTTTTCACCGTTACCTAATGTAAAAGTTATCTTCATATTTCTTTGTGTTGGTCATGCTCTGAATAAATTTGTTGATTTTGTATTGTCCTCTGATCTTTATCGTATTCATAGTCGTCACAGGTTTCAATATTGATCAGGTTTTTCGTTTTACAAAGTATACTGATTGGCGAAAAAAATGGTCATGGGTTAATTATGGTCGCAAATTAGCTGATTAGAAGGAGAATAGTGTGGCTCTCATCATGGGTATCTCTATGATTTCAAGTAGTATTTGACTTATGGATGGTATATTTTTTTGCGGCTGAAGTGCAGTGATTGCGTATCATGATTATTATTGTTGGATGCAAAGGTTATCCACGAATAATGCAACTATAATGATAAATTAAGGGTTCTAATTATGTCGATCAAGTTGTTGAAGGAAGCTATTGTGTTGACAGATGCTGGTAAGCCTAAAATTTCTTTGAATTGAAAAATGGAAGTGCGGTAGGTCCATTTATTGCATGTTTGTAGTTTCCAAGGTGTTTTTTGAAAGGTCCAAAGCAATCAAAAACTCATGGAGGATGCTTGTTAATCTAAGAGCAGCTGAAGGCTTTTCTTTCGATTTCTAATTGATCTTGAGCGTGTTTTCTATTCCAAGTGCGAGCACTTTTAATATAGCTTAGCTCGCAGTTCAAGTGGCATCCATTGCAGTTAAATTTCTGAATTGTTTTCGCGCTGCACAAGTTATCTGATTTCACTAGAAATACGGTTACTTGACATATTCCAAAGAAAAAAAATTTAAATAGATGGTGGTTTGAGGAGTTTGAAAGTTTATAGATGATGGTTTGAAAAGTGCTAAAGTGATACGAAAATCATTCAGACCTTCCAAAATAGAGCGAGATCGCCGGCAGTGTGTCGCCGTAGCATCTTCTTCGGAATATGATCCGGAATTGGATGACGTTATTGTAAAAAGACAACAGGGAAGAAAAGAATTTAGTAAAAATAAAAAGCAGTTTGCAAAGGTAACGTTTGTTTGTGTTGTTTTCGCAAATGTAGTATTTTTTAATTTGCCCACTTTTAACATGAACTTTGCTGCTTTTGTTTTGTGGTTCTATATATTGACTTTGATTGAATATTGATAGTAATTCTTTAACTGCATACTCTCTCTGCTTTTCCATTACGCTGTTCTTAAAAAATACATTTTTGAACTATAATTTCGCTCGGAATTTTTTGTTACAATTACTATTTCCTTATAGCTTCTCAATTGGGCCACTTCTGTTTGAATTGGGTAGTTCACATCTATGCATTTTTCAGAATCTTTCTTTGTTCGAAGCTAGCCGTTTAAGAACTAAGAAAGATTTGATGAAACGGAATGTCAAATATATGGTTTATGAAACTAATCTTAAATTGAACGCCGGTAAAGCAAAACAACTAATAAGTTTTATGGATGAAAAAAACCGTCGTCGAAAAAATATTTTGAATAAATTGCGCAAACAAAATGGTAAATTATCTAATGTTTATAACTTCAGAACCATTTCGCAACCTTTATTATTTTTAGCAGAAGTTTATTTTCGCACTCAACCACTTTTAACTCAACTTGTATTGTGTTCAGATGGATTGAGAGATCGTAAATGGCGTCCTAAGAAGTCGAATAACAATTCGGTGTTTACTGATGAAGATTTTATGAAAATCGGACCAAACAGATTGAAAGTAGGGTTGACTTTAAAGAATGTCTCATATATTTATTATTTCTTTTTTTTTCGCTAGCGGTTGACTTGTCAGCCATAAAAATTTGAATTATCTTTATACAG